CTGCTTTTGCAGTGCTGGCAACTCACTCAAAGCTGCCTGTTTCAAAATGGAGGCCCTTGAGTTTAATGGTAGCACAACTAAGTGGAACCTAGGAAATTCCTCAAGACTGATTAGCCTGCAGGTCAGAGGTCCCCCCATATTGCTGGGCCCCATTGTCAGGAAAAATATAGAAGAGTGGTGCAGTAAGTAAGTAAATCTGTTTTAAAGTAAGGCTGGAACATTTGAAGGGATATGGTTATAACAGAAGGGAATTTCTGACTAGTTTTTAAGTCACTTGGATGCTTTTATGTTATTAAAATAAGAAACTAATTTTTCAACATGTGTTTGGGCCCCTGAAATCCAACAGAGGACCCATGATATGACAAAGGAAAAGGAAAATACAGAATTGTAAATGAGTATTGTTCATTAAATGTAAGATAATGGATAATTAGTTCTTTTTATTTTTTTGTTTTTAAAATAAGACATGTTGAGGAGGAATTTTAATTTAGAATAGCAACCTTCGTAAGACTAAAGAATAAACTGAAAATGTCACTACAGTTCTACATGCCTACCAGTAGTAAATCTGTTTATGTTAAATGGATCTTCCTAACAGGTGTCATACAATTATAACCTAAATTCAGTTTTGTACAAGGCTATCCCTCATTTTGCAGCGTCATTTGACTCCTAATTGTTGAATCAGTGGGATCCATGACTGTAAAACAAAGGTGTCATACAATTATAACCTAATTTCAGTTTTGTACAAGGCTATCGTCACTGACTCCTAATTGTTGAATCAGTGGGATCCATGACTGTAAAACATGAAATTGGGATGATTATACAGTCGTGCCCCACTGGACAATTACCCCACTCTACGACAAATCCGCATTACGTTGACATTTTTGCGTTCGTTTTTGCGATTGCAAAACAATGGTTTAAATGGGGGAATTTTGCTTAGCGATGATCAGTTCCCTGCTTCAGCAAACAGCTGATTGTCAGGTTTCACTCTACAGCTATTTCGCTGGAACGACTCGCTTTACAGGCTTCGAAAATGGCCGCTGTATGGAGGATCTTCGCTGGACAAGCAGGTATTCATCCCATTGGAATGCATTGAATGGTTTTCAATGCGTTTCAATGACGATGTTTTCACTCTACAGCGATTTCGCTGGAATGAATTAACATCGTCAAGCGAGGCACCACTGTAATTTTTACATCTGCAGATGAATTGCTCCAGTTAAGTTCCAAACAAATTGCCTATCTAGGTTCAAAGAAACATCAGCACCCTAATTTCCGTGTGCAGACCAGCAATCTGAAGAAAAGAACCCCCATTTATATGGAAACCTTTTCCATGTTATCAGGAACATGATTTTTCATAGTCCCACTGAAAATTCATAGAGAAGTGGCACTGCCCATCATCTTCAGACTATTGTTCTCTGAAAAATCATGGAGAGGTGGCACTGCCCATCATTTTCAGACTATTGTTCTCTAGAACAACAGAGGGAGGTGTGGCTAAAATTCTTCTCTCCCGCATGGATTCAGATTAATTCTTTTATGCATATCCAAAAAAGGTTTCTATTTTCTATGATAACCTACCATAGACTCAGACTCATGTTGCTTTCAGAACTTTGGCTCGTTGAGTTAGCAGGGACTAAGCGGAAGCCCAACCTTACAACTTCCAATGTGCCTTGGACAAATCATTCTTACAATAATAGCAGTGGGAACAGAAAATGGTATGTGGCATTGTTAGTACCACAGATGACTCATTTCTCGGGTACTAGGTCCAGATTGTGAGGAACAGGTCACATGTGTAGCACACCAAGCTGGTATCACCCAAAAGGCATGGTCATGTCCAACTTTGCTTACAACCCCTGCATAGAAAGGAGGCTGTCCAGTTTCAAGGTAGTCTTGTTCTGTCCTCCCTCTCAAGTGCAAGTGGCCTTCACAGGACAAAAGACAGTGTAGAGGGGAAGTTGAATGGCTTGTGTGTTGGGGGGGGGGAATTAGGCTCTCCTGAGTCCCTCAGGAATTCTTCTGTGCACAGATGTGGGGCCTGGGGCAGGCCTGGGAAGTGTCTACAACATAAGTGCAGAATCAATTAGTTTTGAGGTGTAATTTTTATTCACAACTCTTATAATTCTAAGTGATATCCAACTGCTAAGAAATATAAGTTATGTCTTTGCAGTGATGAATTCAGTGTTTGTCTTCCTTTCCTTCAAACTGTATATGCAGCCAAGACCAAAAAGCCCTGAAAGAGTGACCCCTTTCCCTTCCAAAGCACGGACAATTCATGATGGGGGGGGGGGAAGGGAAGAAGTAAATTTTATCCTTCAAATTCCTCTAGCTTCCTCTTCCCTTGAAACTGCTTTGTACAACTGCTCTGACTGCTACCAATATTCCTGCTATACATTTATCCTGTTTCCCCAACAATAAGACCTAACCTGAAAATAAGCCCTAGGATGATTTTTCAGCCCCTGTACAGTGAGACAGAAAATCCACAACACAAAGCTGTACGACTCCTGGAGTACAATCTTTAAGGCCCTCAAATGGAATAAAAATTGAGATGCAAATACATTTTATCCTTACATGGATTCACTCTTCCTGCACAAACATACCCTGTTTTCCTGAAAATAAGACCTAACCTGAAAATAAACCCTAGTATAATTTTTCAGGATGCTCGTAATATAAGCCCTATCCCAAAAATAAGCTCCAGTTAAGTGAAACGCCACCCTCTACTATTGCGCAGCAACCAGAAGAAGATAAATACAGACTGTTGTACATGAAAAATAAAATAAAACATCCCCTGAAAATAAGCCGTACTGCTTTTTTTGGGGGGGGGAGCAAAAATTAATATAATACCCTATCTTATTTTTGGGGAAACACTGTACCTTGCAACCAACAGGACATGAGGAGGGAAAAAGAAAAGCTGAATGCTGTGGAAGAATATACAGACCATTAACAACTGGAAAGGTAAGGTTTAACCACTCCATCCTTTGAGATGAGACAGACACATTATGGCCCTGTAGGAATACGTACTTAAGTCAGCACGCAGTCCAAAAAAAGGTTGGCCCCTGTACAGTGGTGCCTCGCTTGACAAGGATAATCCGTTCCAGCGACTTCGTTGTAGAGCGAAATCCTCATCAAGCGAAATAAAAAAGCCCATTGAAACACACTGAAAACAGTTCAATGCGTTCCAATGGGTGAAATACCTGCTCATCCAGTGAAGATCCTCCATAGGGCGGCCATTTTGGGGTTCCTGTGCAGCGAAAAATGTTTCCTAAAAACAGTGGAGAGCCATTTTGAGCAGCCACTGGCCATACTGTAAACCCAACGATCAGCTGTTTGATCGTCATAATGGGAAGAATTGGTTCCTGAAGCAGGGGACCGATCGTCGGGAAGCGAAAAAAGCCCATTAAAACATCATTTTGCGATCACAACTGTGATTGCAAAAACATCGTCGTGAAGCAGATTCGTCATCAAGCGGTGTAATTGTTAAGCGGGGCACCACTGTAGTTGGAACAAACTAGAACTGCCTTGCTCCTCTCCTCTGCATAGAATGTAGGATAGGAATAAGGCAGTTCTACCTCACTGGACTGTTGTGAAGATAAAGCAGAAGATTTACTGACGTTGCCCTGAGCTCTGTGAAGGAGAGGCAGGACAAAAATGTAATTAATTAATTAAGCCTTGGTTAGAAACAACTGCAACACTGTGATAGCTAAACTTCCCTTTTCTACTTCTATTCATTCATTGTTCCCATTCAACTAAACAGAATGTTTTCCACGCCTAGCAGTTAATATTGGAATACCATATTTTACAATGAAAGAAGGACATTTTTGCAGGTGTTTTTCACTGCATTTGTCCTGGCTGAAAAGTTTCATTCCTTGAGATCTATCAGTTCATAGAGAAGAGAGGACACAGTCCTAGCCTACTTCAGAAGACAGGCTCCGAATGGCAAGTTTCAGTAAATTCTCCTATCAAAAACTTCTTGGCCCTTTGAAAGCCAACAGACCAGAAGTTAGATCAGTCCCCTCCTAGTATTCTAAATGTTAAGCTTAAGATCATCACTGTGAAGTGTTATTTGTAACTACAGTCGTGCCCCGCTTAACGATTAGCCACAATCCACTTTACAATGATGTTTTTGCGATTGCAATTGCGATCGCAAAACAATGGTCTCAATGGGGGGATTGTGCTTAGCGATGATCGGTTCCCTGCTTTGGGCCCGCATTATGACCAATCCACTTTACGATGATGTTTTTGCGATCACAATTGTGATCGCAAAATAATGGTCTCAATGGGGGGATTTCGCTTAGCGATGATCGGTTCCCTGCTTTGGGCACCGATTTTCGCTTGACGACGATCAAAAACAGCTGATCGCTGGGTTTTCAAAATGGCCACCAGGTGCTCAAAATGGCTCCCCACTGTGCTTAGGGATGGATTCATAGCTATACAGACACTGAAAATGGCCACCGTATGGAGCATCTTCGCTGGACGGTGAGTTTTTAGCCCACTGGAATGCACTGAACAGTTTGCAATGCGTTTCAATGGGCTTTTTAATTTCGCTTTATGATGTTTTCACTTAACAGCGATTTTCCTGGAACGGATTATCGTCGTTAAGCGAGGCACCACTGTGTATGTGTATTTGCATCTTGGAAAGCTCCTCCAGAAACAAAACTAGGCTAGAAGGGCATAGGGGCTATAGCTGAGCAGTCCCTGCAGGAACTGCATGTTCTATCTCATGTATCTTCAATGAGTAAAATTAACATGAAAGACATTTTGCTTAATGTCTGGAAAGTTGCATCTTGGAAAGCTGCTCCAGAAACAAAACTAGGCTAGAAGGGCAAACTGTCTGTGCTGGTTTAAGATGGCTTCTTAATCGTATGCCAGAGAAACAGATGCTACAGACCTTCTTTAACTACTCTGCGATCAGACTTCTCAAAATATACCACATGAAGTAATGTAATCTACTTTTTAATCACAGCCAGAAATACACCGTTCCATCTTGCAAACTGACAATGTCACATACTTACAAGCTCACTTTCTGTGTTTTTATTATACAAGGCATCAACTTTGGCATCCAGCTCTGCTTGGATATGGTCTCTTCTTTTCAGCACTCCCTGAATCGGAAAGCCAATAGAGACAGAAGTTATCTGCCACAGGAGGACAATATTTCTTACAGGGAAACAGTTCCGGCAAACATAGGTTTCAATGTGTATTTTTTGTCAGAATTTGAGAAAAAAGTGAATGAAACAAATTCTGTCCCCATTTCCCTGATATTACTTGATGCACCAAAGGGGCATTTTTGCACATTGTTGCCCTATATGCTTGATGGAAAATGCTAAAACTCATGCTGTGCTGGATATGAGTGCCGGAGGAATAGATGAAAACCATCCCTATGTCTTTCAGTAGAAACCTCCACTAGATCTCAGTTCCTTCTACAAATGAAAAGAGCCCTCCTGTGCACAGCGAAACAACTCCAGATCCAAACCAGTGTTCCTAAGATGTGAAACAGAAAACATAGATTTGTAACATTTTTTTATATGAAAGACTTAGACACACTTACCTTTCCATTTTCAGACAAGTATATTGCTTGGAAATTTAAAGTGTATCCTTTCAAAACATTGTGGATAAATGTTTCAAAAGATAAATACAGTAGCATCTATTAACAAGAGCCAATGTATTTTGATGATACAGCTGTATGGTTTAACCACTTTTATGAAAAAAACTGCAATGTACAGCAACAGAGCTGAGTATATAGATACCACACCATATGCTGAAGGCGGTCTAACCGATTGGATGGGTTATGTTTTCAATGTATTTGCTTTTCTATTCTGCTTTTAATCAAGGTCTTGTTTTCCATCTGTACTTTATGATTAACCACCATGGATGCATTAAAAAAAACATAAAGGCAGTGTAAAAATAGAATAAAATATTATGTTCAGAGCAATTTCCCACAACAGTGGCTGTAATCCCAATTTTACTTTGGTATTGGCAGAACCAGTTAGGATGCAGCTATATACATAAAATACACTATTGAAAAGAACAATCTGTTATCAAATTGTTTGCTTCAGTCTAAAAATGCAATACCATTGTAAGTCATTTAAACAGAAGTCTTTAGAATTGAATATAAAATGTTGTTGTTTAGTCGTTAAGTCCCTGTCCGACTCGTTGTGACCCCATGGACCAGAGCACGCCAGGCCCTCCTGTCCTCCACTGCCTCCCAGAGTTTGGTCAAATTCATGTTGGTAGCTTCGATGACACTGTCCACCCATCTCATCCTCTGTCGTCCCCTTCTCCTCTTGCCCTCACACTTTCCCAACCTCAGGGTCTTTTCCAGGGAGTCTTCTCTTCTCATGAGAAGGCCAAAGTATTGGAGCCTCAGCTTCAGGATCTGTCCTTCCAGTGAGCACTGAGGGTTGATTTCCTTTAGAATGGATATGTTTGATCTCCTTGCAGCCCAGGGGACTCTCAAGAGTCTCCTTCAGCACCACAAGTACCACAATTCAAAAGCAAACATAAAATGTACTGGCTACAATTTAGAGAAAACTGGCCCACCAAAGTTCTCCCGATGCCAATGGAATTTGGGTGTGTAATGGTTACCCTGATGATAGAAAAGATCATCAAGCATAAGGATGTGTCACTGGAGACCAAGACCAAGATAATCAATACTTTTGTATTTCCAGCCATCATGTATTGTATAGGTGTGAAAGCTTGACAGTTAAGGAAGCTGATAGGGAAAAAATCAATTTGCTTGAAATGTGGTGCTGGAGGGGAGCTTTGAGATATACTGGACTGCCAAATAAGACAAACAAATGAGTCCTAGATCAAATCAAGCCTGAACTATCTCTGGAGGTAAAAATATTGAAGCTGGGGCAGTCCTTTTTTGGGCACATCATGAGACGGGAGGATTCTCTGGAAAATACAATAATGTTGGGAAAGGTTGAAGCCAGCAGGAGAAGAGGATGCCCCAATATAAGATGGGTTGACTCCCTAAAAGAAATCACAGGCTTGAGTTTGTAAGAGCTGAGTGGGGGCCGTTGATGACATTTTTTGAGATCACTCAGTCACAGGGTTGCCATAAGCCAGAGGTGACGTGACAGCACGTAACAACAACAATGCTCACTCCGAATTGCCACCCACTTTGTTGGTGTAAAGTTTTTGAAGAGGGAAAGAGCTAGCAAAGATGAACACTTTCCCCTCAACCTGTCAAATATGACAAGAAAAACCACTGTCCCTGGAATAAAAGCAAGGTTTTTGTTCAGTTCCAAGACAGGGACAACACACATTCTGAGACTGAGCCCGCTGGCTGTTGGTCCTTCCCAGTGCCCTGTTGCTTACAATGAACGTCCTGGCAGAAATTTCACAGGATCCGAAGGAAAATCTCTAACCTTACGGAGCTGGGAATATCTTATGTATGTATTCATGGGTGCCATCATATCTAAATCAACAGCATATCTACTGCCAATGAAATCTCTCCTCTTCATATGTAGTACTGAAAAAGGCTTGCAGGTGCTCCAAATATGAGGGCATGAAACTAACTTGGTGCACCTTGGCCAGTTTCTGACCCTCTCTGCCTGACCTACCTCACAAGGCTGTGATGAGAATAAAGTTGAGGAAACCTATATATAGGGTACCTTGAGTCTACTGGAGGACAGGTAACCTAAAAACGGCTTTGGGTCCTTTTAAGAAGAAAGGCAGGGTAAAAATATTTTAAATAAATAAATAATAAACAAATAAACATAACTGATAAACAAAATCCCACAGCATCTCAATGTCAAAACAGCCCTAATCACCTAATAAAACAATTATCGCTCATGAAGTCCATTCTCTCTCATGGCAACCCTGTTGTGATTTCTTAGGCTTACAATGTTCACCAGTGGTTTACCATTCCCTCCCTCCGACAGCGCTCAGGGACTGTGCAGCTTGTCCAAGGCTACACAGGTGGCAAGACATGTAATGCCTATCAGCCATGCACCTGCTAGGTGATCTCAGCTGGCTCCTTCCTTTCCTGAGAGCCGCAGTGTGAACTGGAACCCAAAGTGGAGTCTGAATCCCTGAAGCCAGTGCTCCACCCATAGTCACTCATCAACCTGCATCTTGTTACTCGGGATTCTTTATCATCCTTTTGCCGTTTTCTCTCAGGAGACCAGCATCAATTAAAACAAGCCCTCTGTTGGCCTGACCAAGGTTGAGAGAGGACTTCCAAGGAATGCATGACACAGAAAAAGAAATCTGCACCTTCCTCATTGTGCAGGTGTGAACTTTACCCATCCCCTAACTTAGCAGCATCAACTAAGAAAATGCACTGACTATATGTTATGCAGTGCAAAATTTCTGGAAAGTCTGAAACCATGAGGTGGAGGGAACTCCTTTTTTCCTCCTGATCGGAGAGTTTTCGGAGGAGAATCCCAGAAATATCAAGAGAAATTGAAATGCACGCAATACTCGCTTTCATAGCAAACATTACTGTTTTAGCAACATAAATTACTTTATCCAAACTCAGCATGTAAAACTGTACTATTTGGTAAATTTCTGAAATGTATAAATACAGGAGTCTTAGTTTTGCATAAGAAAAAATTAAGGCTATGCACTGTATCAAAAAGAAAGCCACAAACATTAATTTTTAAGAAACAATTAAAAACTTGGATGTTTAGGCAGATATGCACTGTATGAAAAAGAAAGCCACAAACAGCTGAATCTTATGCAACCTAACTACACATACCTTAATTTTTGCCATTTGAAAATTAGGGGAAGAAAAACGGGGAAAAAATCCCAGTAATCAAAGTGCTGCATTTCCCAAAGTTTCTAGTTTCCCCTCTGAAAAAAACTAAACACTATTCTTGGGAAGGGGAGGAAGTAGTTTAAAAAAAGCTGCCCCCCCCACTCTTCTGGCCTTCACATTTCTAACATTAGCACAGCCCCATCAAAGAAAACCATGTAACTGGGTGTTCCTTTTGAAAATATGCAGCATCTGATCCCTCTTACCATTAATATTTCACTGTAGAGCAAATATTCGTGTAAAGCAGGGAAGAGAATGTCTGAGAGCGCCACCATACGTTTCTCTGTAGCCTTGCAGCATTTGTCGATGCAACTGGCCACCCCTTTGAGCGTGTCTGCCAGGTCTTCTTCAGACGCAGACCAAAGTGTGTGGATGGGGCCAAATTCTTTCAATTCATAGCAATAATCTTGAAAAGCAAGTTGGAGGAGAGATGGATTATAGGGATTTCTATTTAAATACATTTCTAAAACAATTCAAGCATACAGGTCAAGAAATCGGAATGGCTATTTAGAACCTCACAAAGACAGGAAGGACTTCTACCTTACTGTCACGGTTGTCATCTTCACTGCCTTATATCCAATATCATGCTCAGGACAGCATATGGATTTTTGGCCCTGACTCCTTGCGAACCCCTCTGGAACTGAAAATTATCCCAAAATATTTCTCAGTCCCCCAGAGCAATTTTTAGGCATGGGGGGGGAATGGATTTGGAGGAAGATGGGTGAATGGCCCCTCTTCCACTTAGGCAAAGGCAAAAACAGTATTAGACACTGACCATTATTATCAATACTCTAAAATACTTCTATTATCAATATTCTAAAGATTTACAATATGCAACCATGCCTCAGTCAATGTCAGAAAGTTAGTGATGGCATATTAAATAAATATATAAATTGCATCAATTAGACATGCTGTTTGAAATTCAGTAGTAAGTAGCAGTTAGACTAGGATCATTGAATCTGTGGGGATGTAAAAAGGCAACACTTATGTAAGTTCAATTGATTCAATGGGTTGACTCTAATCACAACTTACTACCAGGTAAGTTACTGGTCTATAACAGGGCAGGCACATTCAAGTCTTCTTTCCCACCAACCTTTCTCTTCCTTGTAAACTCGACGAGAAATTTTGTCCAAGAGACTAATCTTCTGACTAAATATGTCCACATATGCATTCATTTCTGCAAAAGGTTCTGGACGGTTTTTCACAGTTCCTCCTCGCATGGATGAAGCAACTGCTTTAACAGTTTGTCCCATTCTGCTGAACAAGCCAGGGCCCTGCTTCCTATGAGATGAAAGCTCCTAAAAATGATGAGAAGAAATTCAGCATTGTCACTGGTGGCTGATGATGATGACAGTAAAACTCTGAATTCACATCACAAATGGTGGTTTCTGGATTTCACATAGAATGCCCATCCTGCTTATCCGGATGTCTGAAATATGACAGATCTACCACATTTCCCCATACAGCTTATTGTCATTCATTCACACAGCTACTATCACAGCCCTTTTGAGGATTTCATTGGAACCCATAACATCATTCAGAATGCCAGTACAGTCGTGCCCTGCTTAATGATTGCCCCGCATTACGACGTATCCGCTTTACAGCAATGTTTTTGCGATCACAAAATGATGGTCTAAATGGGGGAATTTCTCTTAGCTTTGATCGGTTCCCTGCTTCAGGAATTTTCGCTTTACGACGATCAAAAACAGCTGATCGTCGGGTTTTCAAAATGGCTACCGGGTGCTTAAAATGGCTCCCCGCTGAGCTTAGGGACGGATTCCTCGCTATATAGGCACCGAAAATGGCCACCATATGGAGGATCTTCACTGGACGTTGAGTTTTTAGCCCACTGGAACGGTTTTCAATGTGCTCCAATGGGTTTTTTTATTTCACTTTATGTTGTTTTCGCTTAACAGGGCACTCTAAATGAGCCTTCTAGAATGACCCCTTACTTCAGTGACCTTCTCTAACTTTCTGCATCTGTTGCTTGAAGAATCCATTTAAAAATGGGAGGACACTATGTTCTATTAATGGTTCACATGGAATACTGTACTAAAGATGACTCTGTCATTCTCATAGCATGACAAGCAACCATGACCAATATTTTCCATCTTGAACTGTACCCCAAAATAGGGAGCAGAACTTAGGTTTGCATGCTTCTGTGAATGAGGAAACTGGGAGTGTCCATATTTATATACTCCCTGGGCACTTTCTTTTATGGTTGTTGTGGGTTTTTCGGGCTTCTTGGCCGTGTTCTGAAAGTGGTTCTTCCTAACGTTTCGCCAGTCTCTGTGGCTGGCAAACTTCAGAGGAGACTGGCGAAATGTTAGATCCCGGCCATGAAAGCCTTCGCGAATAGACTTTCTTTTAGTTCTGCATAATTATTAGTATAGGAGTAGGTCTTGAGTAATTCAGGGTGAGATCTGTACTGACCCAGGAAACTCACTAGGTGACCTTGGGCAGTAACACATTCTCAACATGACCTGCCTTACAAGGTCATTATGAGAATCAAGTGGGGAAGCGAAAAACTATGTACACCAACTGAAGAAAGGGAAGAATATAAATCTCAGCTCATTGAAGAAAGGACAGAATATAAATGTGACAATTGAAGAAATATAATGTTTCTGGGTTTGTGTGTGTGTGTGTGTGTGTGTGTGTGTGTGTGTGTGTGCGTGTGCGTGTACGTGTGTGGGTTCTTTTTTATTTCAATGAAAAAAGCAAGCAAATGAGAAAACAAGCAAACCTCTCCCTTAGCTGAGTAGCAGATTTATTTATTGTAACAACAGCACTATTTAAAAGTTAATTTACCCAAGCCTGCGCAGTTAGAAAGATTTTAAAGTCCTTATTGAAAGTTAAGGTGGGATGATCAGCAATCCGGTTTAAAAATTTATGAAGAGCTTTCCTTCTTGTCTCAATGAATTCGTTGTTAAATCGTTCCACAACTCCTTTCATTATGAATTTTTCAGGCAATGGCTATGGGGGAAAAAATAAAGTAAGTAAGTAAACGGAGGAACAAAAAATAAGTAAGCCGAAAAGTTGTATCTACCAAAAAAAAAAAAAAAAAAACCCTCAAAAAATACAATCCTTTGGCAAAAATAAAGAGGCCTCAAAACTAAATGGGGAGCAGTTGTTCCATTATCAGAATACCTATAAATGAGAAGACTTATGAGAGGAGACATTTTACCACTTATTACTTTAAAAACAATGCCCCCATTTTTTACCTAAACAATAATTTTCTTTCTCTGACTATAGGAACACTGATAAATATTTTGAACAGGATTTAAAAATCCATTATTATGAAGTCATGTTTGCAAGTAACAGAGACATGCCTCTATTTAGTATGGACAAAGGCCAATTTCTTCAGCAGTAGGACCAGGAGCAGTAAATACATTTCTCATATTGGCGCACTTCAGTCTTTTTTTATGGAGGAGATGAATGTATTCCAAAGCAATACCAAAAATCAACTAGACCCACAGGAATGATGAGCGTTGGGTGCGCTTCTTCAAGTCTTCCCTTTAACCACAGGAAATCTTGATACCGTCGTCTAACTTCATATTCACAGGAGTCAAATTCACCACGTGTTGTCTTAAAATCAGAGAAAGAACACAAAAGCAAATAAGGAAATAGTCCAAATGTTGTTTGGTGTACACAGTTGCCATTTTTGGAAGGGAAAGATCAGCCTATATTGCAATTATATATCTATCTATATATTCAATTACAAGTATAGGATGACCCTTGTATCCACAGGGGATCAATTCCAAGCCCTCCTCCACGGATGCCAAAACTAGAGATGGGGGTATTCGTATACGAATATCCCCGGACAGGTGGATCGATCTGCTGCTGCTGTAGGCTCCGCGGGGAGGGGTCTGTTGTTAGGGAGATGTGAGCCCAAGTATTTCAACATAAACAGTTCACATTCTCTAGATCAGCGGTTTCCAACCTTGGGTCCCCAGATGTTCTTGGACTAAAACTCCCAGAAGATTTCACCACTAGCTGTGCTGGCGAGGATTTCTGGTAGCTTTAATCCAATAACATCTGTGGACTCAAGGTTAGGGAACTACTGCTCTAGGTGCTTCTCTGGACCACCACCTTCACTGCCAGCTTCCGGCATTACCACTATTTTTCTCAGTCTATTCCTGCAACCAATTTGGTCCTTTAATCACTATTTTTGCCCACAGTGATCTTGTAAATAAGAAGCTGCATGTCCATGTAAATGAGAGGTGGGCAAAGCACAGATCTTGGGCCACAGAGAGCCCCCAAAGGTTACTTCTTTGCCTTCATGTCACAAAACTTCCCCTTCCACCACTAAAAATGGTTTTCCCTAGACCTAAAAATAAAACTGTTGAACTGGTACTACTGAAAACCTCAAGAAGCAGCCATTCACCTTTCAGAATAGGTCCCAATCTCTCTCTCTCTCTGCCATGTTTAGCATCCTACAATGCCCATCTTCCAAAAGTTGTAGTAAATTTCTGGCCACTTTCAGCTCTGTTTTTTCCTACCTATTTTCCCCCCACAAGTTGACCCCCTCCCAGGATGTCTGAAGTTGCCCAGCCCCAGGGTAAATCAAGGTTGGCAGGATGAGGGCCAGCTGCAACATTTACATGATTGAAACAGCCCTTTGTGGCAGCCCAGTGCTAACCTTCGTAACAACTCTGTAGGTGATGAACGTTTCAATGGCAGTGACGTGGCTTTCTGGATCATCAACGGTGATGAAAAGATCCTTTGATTCTGGTTCATCTTCAAATTTATACTGGTTTATCATGGAGGCTGGAGATGTTGGCATCAAAGGACTGAATGAATTTACTTCCGTTAAGGATGCGTCCTGAGAATAAATAACACATTTGAAATAACTGTCACTATTATTGAGAGGTAGAACCTGCCGCCATAGTAGCGACAGAGTTACGTTGCCATAACTAAGAGCAATTGCTACAATGCACATCTGATTTGTCATAACATAGAGCCAAAGATTCCCAACACTTTATTTTTAATTGAGCTGTAATATTTTGGAGGCTATAACTGTCACTGAAACCATGTTTCTAGCCCTCAAGACTGAGAAGAAAAACATTTGCTGCTCGTGAACCACCCAGAGTAATCACTGGTCACATGGGCAATATAAAAACCAAACACTGTAAATAAATAATTTGCTACTGAAGTTTAGCACATAAGATATTTGGGCAGATATGCAATTCACTGGAATAGTTATGTGATATCAACCTAAGATGACCTTAATAGGGTTTCTCCAGGTATGGGAAATGTTCAAGGGGTGGTTATCCATTACCACTCCCCACTGAGTTTCTATGGCTGAACAGGGATTTGAAGCCAGGTCTTCTGCGTCCTAATCTAACACTATCTACCACATCACACTGGCTCTACATTAGAAAATAGCTCTGCTTCATTATATCTTTCCTTACAGGCAAAGAATACTGCTAAAAATGCCATATATCCATAGCTAGTTATTGCTATGGCTATAGCTCTCTCTCTCACTCTTTCTATATATTTATATACAGTATATTGGTTGGACTGCTTAGTGTGAAACTTGGGTCTTATAGGGCACCTGTAATACCTGAAGGAAAGAATTACACGATCGATTTGACCATTATTCTTTCAGACTTTCGAAAGCAGTATTCTTCCCCTGCTCCCCCGTGGACCCACTAGTCTCAACCGCCTGTTTTTATTGTCAGGAAACTGTCAGTTCCACAATGACCATCTTCTCGAAATGGGGCACTCAGTTCTCACCAAAGCATCAAAGGGAGAAAAAGGATTATCAATCAACCGACAACCCACAACAGCCTTTCTTGTCTTGAAAATGGCCTTGGAGTCCAGGCTTAGTGCATGTCTTTCCCTTGACCTCCAAAGGTCACCCCCTTTCTGCCGTTTGCTTCTTTTCAAGCAAACAGAGCCCCTTTGTTGATAAGGAGTCAAACTCTGTGCTGGAAACGATGTCCTCACAATGGTTTAAGTGCCAGTATTCTATCTACCTTTTCTTGGTGGATCATTATATAAATTGCTAAGACACACAACAAAGGGTTTCGCTTCTTGCAAAAAGAACGCCATGAGCTGCTGTAAAAGCCCTCATCAGATGGGGAAAGAAATTTAGCATGTGCATACTCAGAGACCAGCATACACACCTACTTGTGTGCTACCAAAATGAATAATGCACTGAGAAAGTTCTCATCTTTGTCATCAACTTATTATACACGTCTAATGTTTTAGTTGTAATGTGTCACCAAGTCAAAACCAACTATAGCAACCCTAACAGGACTTTCAAAGTGAGATAATTAAGGAGTGGTTTTACTAGTTCCACAGCCCCAGTGAGCTTCCATGGCTGAGCAGGGATTTGAATCCAGGCCTCCTGAGTCCTAGTCCTTCACAGTCCACTAAACCAGTGGTCCCCAACCTTTTTGGGACCGTGGACCAGCTAAGCCTCTGAGGAAGGCGCCCCTCACATGCACGCGCACACTCTCAGGTGCATGCATGAAGTGATGGAGGAGCACCCGTCCACCCACCAGCACTGGTGTGAACGCTCCCCCACCCCTTTGCGCATGCGCAGGAGTGCCTGCACTCCCGCCTGTCCAGCCCTTTGCGTGTGCGCTGACGAGAAGGGTTGGGGGAATGCTGGTGCTGGCATGCGCAAAGCAGCTGTGGGGAGGGAAGTGCATGTGGGGGGGCAGGAGGTCTGTCTCCGTGGCCTGGTCCGGCTGACGACCTCTGCACTATATCACACTGGGTATTCAATTTAATCATACATGTCTATAAGTAAACCACCAAGTTTCATCTCGTATGCATTAAGGTCACTAGAAAAAGGTCAAATCAGACAGGATTTCAGATCCAAAAACATTGTTAGACTGGCCACCTCTCCTTGCTTCCAAGATGCAGCCACACAGCTCCTGCATCAGGAACACAACACCTTGCACCATTTTCTTGCCCAAAATGTGCCCCCCCCCAGATATTGCTACACAACTCACTTTAATTTTAAGAAATATATTGCAGATTGACTTATTGGATATATTCAGAGTGGTGATGGCTAAGAACGACGCAAATGCCACAGGGAATGAGAAATTTTCCTTCCATGAACTGTCTTATGATCCAACCAAAACTTAAGTTTAATTATTGGTTCAACACTAAAAATACAAATTTCAAGGTTTCAAATCATGTCACAACCATTACTTAAACAGCCCTTACATTAGGCATTTGAAATCTTAAATTTGTTATTCTCATACAGTCATATGGGTGATGCACTTTGAATGACCATGGCTTGCCTAGAAGGCAGAGATACATTTGAAATCTTAAGTAGGTTATTCTCATACAGTCATATGTATGACCATGGCTTGCCTAGAAGGCAGAGATGAAATCTGAAATGGGAACGTCTTACCTTTCTAGATCATATCCTTAGCCTTTGCACTCTACTAGCTCTCGAGGCAAACAGGATGCTTTGGGATAAACCATTCCCACATAAGGAACAGATCTGTATTACTAAACTCAAGTGACCATGAGCCTGAAGAACTGTGGATTGAAACTAGAGAGATTTACCTTATATGAACCAAGAAATATCTGATGTTCAAGCTGGATTCTGAAAAGGAAGAGGCACTTGAGATCATAGTGGAAATAGCCACAGAACACTGGAGAAGATCAAAGAATTTTAGAAGATCAGTCTATATTTTATAGACTACAGCAAAGTATTTGATGGTGTGGATCATGAGAAACTATGAGTTGTTCTGAAAGATATAGGTGCACCTCAGCACTTGATTAACACAATGCATAACCTGTATTGTGGAGAAGAAGCTACTATTAGGACAGATTATGGAAAGACAGCATACTTTCCTATAGGCAAAGCTGTCAGACACAAGTGCATTTTATCATCTTATCTGTTCAATCTGCATTTAGAACATATCATACAGGAAAGCCAAACTGGATACAGATGAAGGAGTGGTATAAGAAATATGGATGATTTAAGACATGCAGGAGACACCATCGTACTGGCAGAAAGCAGCACTGGAATGACGTTTGGTGAAAGTGAAAGAAGAAAGTGCCAAAGCAGGACTACAGTTGAACATTAGAAAAGCAAAAATCATGACTACAGAAGATCTACGCAATTTTAACATTGACAATGAAGAAACTGAAAAGTCAGCGATTTTGTATACCTTGGTTCAATCATCATTCCAAATGGAGAAATCAGAAGAAGACTGAGACTAGGAAGGACAGCAATGACGGAATTAGAAAATATCTTCAAGTGTAAGGATTTGTCACTGGAGACCAAGACCAAAATCATCCACACTCTTGGATTTCCATTCACCTTGCATCAAAGCTGGATAGCTTAATAATAATAAATGAATCAGGCTTGCATTTACAAGAGCTGAGCACTACTGTTGAGGACAGGATATTCTGGAAATCTCTTTTTCACATAGTCACCCAGTTGGAGGCAACCTGATGGCATGTAACAACAAAGTCCAAGTTATATTTTAAACCATTGGCCACAAGCAGACTGTAAAAGTGGATCCCCCGCCCCCAGCAGCTTTTAAATCTTTTGAAACAGAGTAGCCAGTGCTCTAAACAGAAAATATAAAGGCCCAGTTCTTCTTGTGTGGATTGGGAACAGGTGATGGCCTACATTATTATCTCCTAAAATTCCATTCAGATTTTTTATGCTCTAAGGGCACCATTATGTTATGCAGCCAAGTACAGCATTCCCTAAAATGTATGCACTTCATGTTTATGTTTTTGAGTAATAATCTAAATTATTAAAGTTGACAGCTTTAAGATTCTCATTTTTCACCACTTAGGGAGCTGTTTTATTTCCATTGTGTAAGGTACAAAGAATGATCTATGAAGTCAATTTACTCCCAGGTACCTACGCACTAGAAAAATAGTGTTTCAGTCGGGCAGCAAACTCTGCAAATGACTACATGGGAGGGCAGACAGAAACAGGGGAAGTTTTCATATTAATATTGATTTTGCAGGAACTCTTCTATTAATGCTTGCAAACGTGGGTTTTGCAAAAAAATAATAATAATAATACCAATCTGGTAAAGAAAAGTAAGCTGCCGGTTCTCTTCCACATCAGCTTCACAAGTCTCTGTGGTTCAAAGAGTTGTATGAAGGGAAGGGTGGCCCTGTTATTTGGGCCCAGAGGGTGTGGCCCACTTAATTGCCACCAGCTCCAAATCCATCCATCCCACCCAGCCAGCCAGCAAGGGAGTCAGAGACTAAGAAGAACATGCTCACTTCCCTTTCTGGAGCCACATGGATTTCAAATCCAGTCTGATTGTGAACTCAGTATCTTTTTAAAATAATTAATAAATAACCACGATGCACGGATGTCCAATGCAGAGGCACAGAGCCTTCCTTCTTGATATTGGAGACATGCAGGGCTCCTTGGAAAAAGCAGCAGTCAGTCAGGCAAGAACACTCTCCCCCAGTGTGCTGTAAAAGCATACCTCTGGTTCCCACGGGACTCATAGCAACTATGTACTAAGGACATCACACAGGTTGCCAAGTAGCTAACCAGGGCGTGCCGTGCCTGCCTCGTTTTGGAAACATCAGCCCTTCTGTCTTTTCCCAGATAGTCATCACTGTTCCTATGTTGGCGGAACACCAGCAAAGATGTAGATTCCAGATGGTCAGAACTTGCTGTCCAGACTCCCTCCTGTGTACTGTGGTCCTCCTTACTTGTAAACATGTAGGCCCTGGTTTTGAGGCCTGTGATGCTGCTTCTCTCTGTTATGCCTGATGTAGGGGCTCATGTACAGAAAGCAGTTTGATAAGCAGTAGTAGCCCTGTTAGTCTGTGCTAGCATATCAGGAAAAAAAGAAGACAAAAATGATC